AAGAACTCTTGTCTGTTTGAATGTTGCAATTGGCCAGCTTGATTAGCATTGAATGGCCTTGCAGCTTCAAGGCCTGGCTAGTTGCTTCCTGGGGATCCATTTTTGTGAGGTGTTAGCTGGCCCTGATTGATTCTTGTCTGGATTTCCCCTGCTTTTTGAGTCTTGCTCTTTATTTACTGGCTGCTTCACAACCTTTGAGGATGCCTGCCATAGATGTGGGTGAAACGTCAGGAGAAAATGCTTCTGGAACATGGCCATACAGCCTGGAAAACTCACAGCAACTCAGTGATTGTGGCCTGTGAAAGCCTTCGACAATACAGTGAAAAGGAATATTGTAATGTTTTTATTATTATGCAAAGAGTTATTGTAGTACATTTGAGATTAATGGAGAGGATAAAGTTGGTAGTATAGGTTTTCGTAGTCGTCTTAGTCCATCAAAGCACATGCTTTGCTGTTTATTTATTATGGACCAGCCCACGCCAGAGCTCCCTGTCAGCCGTCTCCACTCCCAGCTCCTTCAGGGTCAAGCCAGTCACTTCAAGAATACCATCCATCCATCTTGCCCTTGGTTGGCCCCTCTTCCTTGCTACCAAATTCCTTTTCTCAATTTGTCTCCACCTGAACACGAGGAAGAATTTCCTAACTGTGAGAGGTGTTCAGCAGTGGAACTCTCTGCCCTGGACTGTAGTGGAGGTTCCTTCTTTGGAGGCTTTCAAGTAGAGGCTGGATTGCCATCTGTGGGGGGTGCTTTGAATGTGATTTTCTTGCTTCTTGCCAGATTGGGATTGGACTGGATGGCCCACGAGGTCTTTTCCAGCTCTATGATTCTAAGTGTAACAAGACCCTTTCTATATTTCTATTGTAGACTAACAGGACTCTGTTGTTGCTTTTATTATGATCGCTGCATTATGACCATTATACCAGTTTCTCAGCCTTCATAAAAACAAAGGCCTGAGTAGATGCACAAGAAAGAACTTCCCTAGAGCGAACTTCTCCATTGGGTGTGAATTTGCAGATAGGAAACTAAGTTAGAGTAACACTTCAGTCCAGAAGGGCCGGCTTGCTTGCATGGCCAAAACACAGTATTCCAAAGATCTCCTCTGCCTCCCCCCTCCCCCCCCTTTCCCTCCTGAGGTTAATTTACACATGCAGTTGGCTTGACACGATGAACCCAAGTTGGCTTCATTTTTTTTTCCAAGTTGCAGATTGGCAGGTTATCCCTGTCCAAGTGTATGTTCCTTCTGGCAGCTTAGGAATTTGGACTGCAACTCACACCGGAGAGTATGTGCTGAATTGGAGCTCGCAAACAAAAACGAGAAACAAATATGTCTTAAGTATGCCAGTAATTTTCACACCAGTTGGGGAGAGGATCTTCAAGTTGGCTTCTTGATGCAGGAAGACAGAATGTACTGAAGAAATAGGCGACTGAGCAGTTCCCAGGCTCAATAAATTCACTCTTTAAAACAGTAGTTCTCAACTTTCCTAATGCCACAACCCCTTAATACAGTTCCTCATGTTGTGGTGACCCCCAACCATACAATTATTTTTGTTGCTACTTCATAACTGAGATATTAACAAGCTGGAATGTGTCCAGAGGAGGGCTACTAAAATGATCATGGGTCTGAAGGACAAGCCCTATGAGGAGAGGCTTAAAGAGCTAGGCATGTTTAGCCCGAAGAAGAGAAGACATGATAACCATGTATAAATAAGTGAGAGGAAGTCATAGGGAGGAGGGAGCGAACTTGTTTTCTGCTACCCTGGAGAGTAGGACACGGAACAATGGCTTCAAACTACAGGAAAGGAGATTCTATCTGAACATTAGGAAGAACTTCCTGACTGTGAGAGCTGTTCAGCAGTGGAACTCTCTGCCCCAGAGTGTGGTGGAGGCTCCTTCTTTGGAAGCTTTTAAACAGAGGCTGGATGGCCATCTGTCAGGGGTGCTTTGAATGCAGTTTTCCTGCTTCTTGGCAGAGGGTTGGACTGGATGGCCCATGAGGTCTCTTCAAACTCTATGATTCTATAACGTAAACATCTGATATGAAAGATGTATTTTCATTCACTGGACCAAATTTGGCACAAATACCTATTATGCCCAAATTTAAAACTGGTGGGGTTGGGGGGTGGTGTCAAGTTTGGGGAAAATAGACCTTGAGATTTGGGAGTTGTAGTTCCTGGGATTTATAGTTCACCTACAACCAAAGGGCATTCTGAACTCCACCAACAATGGAATTGAACCAACCTTGGCACACAGAATCCCATGACCTACAAAAAATTCTCGAAGGGTTTGGTGGGCATTGACCTTGAGTTTTGGAGTTGTATTTCACCTACACCCAGAGAGCTCTGTGGACTCAAACAATGATGGATCTGGACCAAACTTGCCACGAATCCTCAATATGTCCAAATGTGAACACTGGTGGAATTTAGGGAAAATAGTCCTTGACATTTGGGAGTTGTAGTTCCTGGGATTTATAGTTCAACTACAATTAAAGAGCATTCTGAATCCCACCAGCAATAGAATTGGGCCAAACTTCCTTCATAGAACCCCCATGACCAACAGAAAATACTGTGTTTTCTAATGGCCTTTGACAGCCCCTCTGAGACCCCCCTCAGAGGTCCTCACCCCTGGTTGAGAAACACTGCTTTAAAATAAAAAAAAAAAAACCAGATCTCCAAATAGGAACCAACAAGTGACTAGCCCACCGATATTTTTACTATTCCACCATGAATAATTTGTGGCCTGAAAAATAATGAATCTCTGAAACATCCCATTTTGCTGGTTCTTTACTTCTTTCCAGCATCGAAAGTGTGTAGCTGTTTATATACTTGGCTTCTATTTGAGAAACTTGGCTTCAGACTTGACGTTTGATTTGCAGCTCTTCTGAGCTTGGACTACTGCCTCTTGACCTCAGTTCATATCTGCGAAATGGGAGCAGTAAAACACTTAAGATTTATTTCCACCCCAACAAAACTTTCAAGAACTCTTCGCCACTTCTGAATTACGTGCTTTGGCTTTTTCCAAAACCAAACGCAGCGGGACTTACTCCTAAACATGCCTAATATTGTACTATAAATCCAACATAGCAGAAGCCAACCTTTCTCAAAGCCCTTGAAAGGGCCTCAAAGTCTGTTGGGATAAAATATGTATTTCATAATGATGGTCCCATATCTCTCTGGCTCTCAGTTGATCCCAGTTACTCTTGGTGCCAGCAGAAAATTAATCAAAAACGGATCCAGGTTGAATCTTTGTGGTTGGGCACGTTCTGACTCCCTGCACACAGACAAATAGCATGTTGGGAGTAAGGTCAATCTAAAATCAGGTTTGGGCAGTATGTGACCTTTCCAATGTCTGACTGCAATTTGCATAAAAACGTGGATTTTAAGCAGGCTTTTGGCCTCAAGAAGGCTGAAATGGGCCCATATGAGGTTGACATTTTGGCACTTGTGATTTGAAGGCAGCTAGATGGTCTGTGTTTTAAACTGTGTTTTTATTTTAGGTGTTAATAGTGGTTGTTTTTGTAACTTTACGTAATACTGATTTTTACTCACTTACTGTTTACTTGCAGTGCCTTGTAAGCTGCCTCGAGTCCCTTTTGGGAGATAATGGCGGGATATAAATAAAGATAATGATGATGATGATCATCATCATCATCCTTCACCATTGCTCATTCTGATCTCATGGGAGTTGCAGTCCGTGTTGATTTAATCAATACAGCATTGAGATGTCCAAAAGGATGACGTCCAGATGTTCTCATCTGCAGCAAGCAGCATGTGTGTACTGTACACACCTTCAAGTTGCCTATCAACTTATGGCAACCCCACTAATTTCATAAGATTTTCTTCCACCAGTATTACTCAGAGGTGACTGTGTCATTTCACTCCTCTGAACTCTCGCTGAAAGCATGCCATCTGATAGTCTTTATCGAACTCCCATCCAAGTACTAACCATGGCTGATCCTGCTTAGCTTCCAAGATAACATAATATGGGATCTGGTGTCTTTGGGGTTATTTCGACCACAGACACAAACACCTGATCAATTGATTCTATTGCATATCTATCTAAAGTGATTCTTGGTCAGTTAAAAGAACAGACACATTAAAGAATTGGTGATAATTGTTGTCCATTTTCTTTCCTCTCCTGCATTGTTTTTACAAAATTGCATTCCATTCTATTTTTAAAGACCAAAGTTACCATTTTGTTTGGTAAACTGCAGTGCTCTTTCCAGTTAAGGTTACAGTAATGGCCAAAACTGCCTATGAGCAGATGATATTTTCGTCACTCAAAGGAAAGGATGCATGCTTTTGAGTCCTGGAAAATTATTCAGTAGGCCAGATTAATGTCAAATCCCGAGAAAGTGAAAATTTGCCCATTCTTCATGGTGGATCATGATAATAAACCTATTGCCTAACTGGAATCTGATTTTTTTCCCCTGTTGGAACTGGTACAGCTGTTTTCACATATGTGTGTTCTCTCTCTTCATCTCATTCACACACACACACACAAACAGAGCAAGAAGATGTGTTGTCAAAGACTTTCATGACCAGAATCAGTGGGTTGTTTTGAGCTTTCCGGGCTATATAGCCATGTTCCAGAAGAATTCTCTCCTGACGTTTCACCCACATCTGTGGCAGGCATCCTCAGAGGTTGAGTGGTCTGGGTTGCCTGCCATAGATGTGGGCTAAACATCAGGAGAGAATGCTTCTGCAACATGGCTATTTAGCCCGGAAAACTCAAAGCAGCCCAATGATTCCGGTCATGAAAGTCTTCAACAACAAATAAAAATTTAGAATCCTTTTATTCTAGACTTTTATATAGCAGACATCCAAATCATTGTGTGCTATCTTCTATAGACAGCCAGAGTTTGGGGATTTTTTTTGGGGGGGGGGGGGTGGCGGTTCCATTTCCTGGGTAGCTTCTCTAAACTTTGCTTTAAGCCCAAGGTAAGAGAGCATAATGTACATATATAATGTGCTGATACCGCCTTGTCCTTTCTCTCTTGCAGTTTTTCCTCTGCTCAGTCTATGTTCCCATGTGCACAGAAAAGATTGACATCCCCATTGGATCCTGTGGTGGCATGTGTCTCTCCGTCAAAAGGCGATGTGAGCCCGTCTTGAAGGAATTTGGTTTCTCTTGGCCGGAGAGTTTGAACTGCAGCAAGTTTCCACCCCAGAATGACCATAACCATATGTGCATGGAAGGCCCAGGGGATGAAGAGGTGCCCATCCACAGCAAAACCCTCCTTCATCCTGGGGAGGAATGCCAGAGCTTTGGTACCAATTCTGACCAATACATCTGGGTCAAACGGAGCCTGAACTGCGTGCTCAAGTGTGGCTACGATGCTGGTCTCTACAGCCGATCGGCCAAGGTGTTCACCGACATTTGGATGGCCGTCTGGGCCAGCCTGTGCTTCATTTCCACTGCCTTCACAGTCTTGACCTTTCTGATTGACTCCTCTCGCTTTTCCTACCCTGAGCGCCCCATTATATTTCTGAGTATGTGCTACAATATTTATAGCATTGCTTATATTGTCCGACTGACCGTCGGCCGGGAGAGGATTTCCTGCGATTTTGAAGAGGCAGACGCACCCGTTCTTATCCAAGAGGGCCTTAAGAACACAGGATGTGCTATAATTTTCCTGCTGATGTACTTTTTTGGGATGGCGAGCTCCATCTGGTGGGTGATCCTGACATTGACGTGGTTTCTGGCTGCCGGACTCAAGTGGGGTCACGAGGCCATCGAAATGCACAGCTCCTATTTCCATATAGCAGCTTGGGCCATCCCAGCGGTGAAAACAATTGTCATTTTGATCATGAGACTGGTGGATGCAGACGAGCTGACTGGACTTTGTTATGTCGGAAACCAGAACTTGGATGCACTCACGGGTTTTGTTGTGGCTCCCCTTTTCACCTATTTGGTGATCGGGACTCTTTTCATTGCAGCTGGCTTGGTGGCTTTATTTAAAATCCGGTCCAACCTTCAGAAGGACGGGACCAAAACGGACAAGCTGGAGCGGCTCATGGTGAAAATCGGGGTCTTTTCGGTGCTCTACACCGTCCCAGCTACCTGCGTCATTGCTTGTTACTTTTACGAAATCTCCAATTGGACGATCTTCCGCTATTCAGCGGATTACTCCAACATGGCTGTGGAAATGCTCAAGATTTTCATGTGCCTGCTCGTGGGCATCACGTCGGGCATGTGGATTTGGTCAGCCAAAACGCTGCACACCTGGCAGAAGTGCTCCAACAGACTGGTGAACTCAGGGAGGGTAAAACGAGGGGAGAAAAGAGCCAACGGGTGGGTGAAGCCTGGGAAGGGGAATGAGACTGTGGTATAGAAACACAAACGTTACCAGTGGGCAGTCTCTGCTTCTCCTTTTCTCCCTCCCGGTGTGAGAAGAGTTGCCTGCACAGCAGAGCAGAAGTAGTTGATCTGGGAGAGGAATCAGACAGGATCTTGGCAGTTCTGCAGAATTTGGGGATTACTTGGGCAGAGAAGACCCCACCGCAAGGACCCGTGCACTGCAAACGGTAGAGCAGAGCTCCTGAAAAGGAAACACGAAAGCCTTCCACGGCTTCAGAAAGCTGTGAAAACAAACCTCAGCACCCCCTGGGACTTCTGTCGTAAAGCAGCGTCCTTGCGCCTTGAGAAACTGTGGAACTTTGCACCGTCCTTCTATAATGCAAAATGTGCCTTCTCTCTTTCTTTTGTCTTAAATTCTCCTTTAGCCTTCTTCACAGATCATGTATTTAGCCATATCTCAGTGCAAAAAAGGAAAGAATTCAGAGGGCAAACATCTGGTGGTGTAGAGAACTCTTGCGGGGAGCAAATAGTTGCCATCTTCAGGAAACTTGTAATCCAGAGGTCTGCCACACAGGAGGGCAGAGGTTTATGTTCCATATTGGTTCCTATACCATGGCAATATTTATTTTTTATTACCTTACAATATCAGACAGGGCTATGCAAGCTGTCAGATTCTACAGAGCTCTTAATCCAACTAGAGTGGTTCTCAACCTGGGGTCCCCAGATGTTTTTGGCCTTCAACTCCCAGAAATCTTAACAGCTGGTAAACCGGCTGGGATTTCTGGGAGTTGTAGGCCAAAAACATCTGGGGACCCCAGATTGAGAACCACTAAACTAGATGGTCAACAAAGCAAGCAGCAGTCAAGAGGGGAAAGCTGGCTGTTGTTGGAGCCACAGAGCCTGCTTTAAGTTATAAGATGGAATGTCAAAGGTGGTAGTAGATGTTCAAATTAGGCACTCTGTCAGTGGTTCTCAACCTGTGGGTCCCCTGATGTTTTGGCCTTCACCTCCCAGAAAACCGTAACAGTTGGAAAAACTGACTGGGATTTCTGGGAGTTGTAGGCCAAAACACCTGGGGATCCACAGGTTGAGAACCACTTCTCTATGTGGTTGCATACTTCTGGTAGTACCCAGGACTGCCACAAAGACTGGTTGTGAAAATATATGATCCAGTTGTTCTGTGCCCATGCTTAAGCCAAATATTGCTGTGATGTGCCTTCAAGCCAATTTATGCTTTACTTTATATCCTTATATTGTATCCTTGAGTTACAATACAAGGATCCAATGCATTGTAGAGTTACATTGAGCCATGGAAGCTGAAGTGGTGTTAAACCTGCATTAATTCAACATTGTAGATGCACCCTTAGACTGTGAAATGGGTGGAGTGGCAAAATGACTTAGGCTTGATCTACACTGCCCTATATCCCAGGATCTTATCCCAGATTTTCTGTTTACCCCAGATTATCTGGCAGTGTAGACTTGTTGCAGATAAACTGGCATCAGATCCTGGGCTGTAGGGTAGCGCCTCTTCTACACTGTAGATTCAACACAGTTTGACACTTCTTTAACTACTATGCTCAATGCTATGTAATTTGCGATGACACCAGTGCTCTTTGGCAGAGAAGACCTTGTAAAACTACAACTCCAATATAGCATTGAGTTACTTCTCAAGGAGGTATCAAATTGTATTAATTCTACAGTATAGATGCACCCTTAGATGGAGGTTCCCCATTGAAAGCATCACGACAAGTCAGTTCTTCTCAAGCTCTCATTTATTCCACATACAAAGCATTGTGTTGAAATGCAGTGCCCAAAACTCCATTGAATTGGCCATGCTGCCTAGCACTGCTGGGCATTGCAGTCCCAACAATGCCCAATAAAGGGGAGCTCAATTTAGTTCTGTTTGTTGGAATCCAGCCCCCTGTCCTTTAAAACCATTGGTTCTGTGGCTGAACTGTCATGCGCTATGGGTTTCTACCCACATCATATGCAGAGCCCCTGGTAGTGTTTTCAATTGCAGAGGGTGGAACTCTGCAGCATAGGCGTGGTTCAAGGAGGTCTGGTAAACTGAGCCCTTTATGTAAGAAAGGCCTGCCAACAAAAGTAAATGCCTGCAGGGTTGAATTAATTATCAGGCTAGTTTCCTAACTCTGCTGACAACAGAGTTATCCATGCAGCCTTGCACTTTGCTTTCCAGAAGTTCAGTATTTTCATAAACTGAGTATTTTAACCTGCCTGAGATTTGATGTTCCATGTTTAGAATAGCTGCATGGTGTAGATCTGGATGATATAGCCATTTGATGCTCCAAATGGCAGGATGAAGGTGCATCTGTACTGCAGAATTAATACAGTTTGACACCACTTCAGCTAGCATGGCTCAGTGCTGTGGAATCAGGATATGAAGTTTTACAAGCCTTTTCTGCAAAAGAGTGCTGTGACCTCACCAAACTTCAAATCCCAGAGTTCTATGACATGGAGCCATGCCAGATGTATTGGCATCAAATGACATCAATTCTACAGTGTAGATCAGGCATGGGCAAACTTGGGCCCTCCAGGTGTAGTCATCTCAAACTGTAAATGGCAGAATGAGGGTGCACCTATATTGCAAAATGAATACAGTGGGTTGCTGTGATTTTTCTGAGCTGTATGGCTATCTATCTATGGTTGTGATGTCTGTTGGAAACTAGGCAAGTGGGGTTTCTATATCCGTGGAATGTCCAGGGTGGAAAAAAGAACTCTTGTCTGTTTGAGGCAAGTATGAATGCTGCAATTAGCCACCTTGATTAGCATTGAATAGCCTTGCAGGTTCAAAGCCTGGCTGGTTGCTGCCTGGGGAAGTTTCAGCAGAAAGAAGGAAACCATGAAAATGAACAAAATCTGGCTACCAGCATTTTTTAAAAAAAATCCTCTAAAATTAAAACAGTAAATAAAGAGCAAGACTGAAAAATCAGGTGAATTCCAGACAAGAATCAATCAGGGCCAGCTAACACCTCCCAACAAAGGATTCCCCCAGGCAGCAACCAGCCAGGCCTTGAAATTTTAGACTATGAAATGCTAATCAAGGTGGCTAATTGCAACATTTACACTTGTCTTAAACAGACAAGAGTTCTTTCTCCCACCCTGGACACTCTACAGATATATAAACCTCACTTACTTAGTTTCCAACAGACCCTGCAGCCTATTCCACTGCCAAACATTAACAAGAAGTATTGTTGAAGGCTTTCATGGCCAGAATCACTGGGTTGTTGTAAGTTTTTCAGACTGTGTGGCCATGTTCCAGAAGCATTTTCTCCTGACGTTTTGCCTACATCTATGGCAGGCAACCTCACAACCTCTGAGGATGCCTGCCGCAGATTCAGGTGAAATGTCAGGAGAGAATGCTTCTGGAACATGGCCACACAGCCTGAAAAACATACAACAACCCAGACCTCACAACCTCTGAGGATGCCTGCCACAGATTCAGGCAAAATGTCAGGAGAGAATGCTTCTGGAACATGGCCACACAGCATGAAAAACATACAACAACCCAGACCCCTCAACCTCTGAGGATGCCTGCCATAGATGTGGGCAAAATGTCAGGAGAGAATGCTTTTGGAACATGGCCACATAGCCTGAAAAACATACAACAACCCAGACCCCTCAACCTCTGAGGATGCCTGCCATAGATGTGGGCAAAATATCAGGAGAGAATGCTTCCAGAACATGGCCATACAGCCCAGAAAATTCAAAGCAACCCATTTTGACTGTTGCTTTTAATGGTGTTTGTGTGGTGTCCTCCACTCTATAACTCATTAGCCCAATTGTGCGACTCCCTTTCTTTCAGGGGAGCTTTGCTTAAGAGCGTAAAATTCCTCTTTGATTGCATTAGTTCTTATCTTATCAGCAGAGGCCCCCAAAAATTAGAAACTGAAACCTGACTTGAGCTTTAAAAAGATTGAACTGCCAATCTCAGCTTATCTCTTCCCTGAATTGTTAGCCACAACCCTTTCCCCCCAGCCTGGATAGGTGATTTTGTTATTTTCCAGACTCTTCCCCACTCCATGGTGTGGCATTCTTGGGGTCCCGGTCACCTCAGAAATTCCCCCCTTTTTTTATTTTTATAGCCTTCCTTCCGTCTGCAGCATGGGGCTAATGAGGAAAAAGTGAATGGAGGGTCATTTTGGACAATTGGCTTATTCAGAGCCTGTTTGGTTTGGGTTTTAATTTTTTTCAAATCGCTTCTCTCTATCCCCTTCAAGTAAACTAATCTGGATCTCTCTCYCCCCCCCCCTCCCCAACCCATTGCATTAAGCAATTAAAGCTTAATATATTTTGCTCGGCGTGATTGCATCTGTGTTGACGCCAGTCTGGGCCCAACTGAAATGTTAAGTTCTTTGGCAGCTTTGCCTTTGCACGGATCGGTTGTACAATTTGTGTGTCAATTACAATTAGGAGGACATTCTCCAGCCATGAGATAGGGCGACAACTGAAAACATTTGAATGAGAGTGCCTTTCTTGCCTTTATCAGTTGAAGAATGCAAGTGGATGGGGTTTTCTTTGTCTCTTGCCAAAGTGGGACCATTGTCTGCTCCCCTTCTCATTTTTAAAGGATCCAAAGAGTAGAGGAATTGACTGATTTGAAAGTAAAGCAGCAAGGTTTGGAGATGTGTCTGGCTACCACAGCCAGAGTGGGATGGTTGTCAACTTCTCCATCGGCTTTCACATTCAGGGAGGAAACGTAAGGCATTTGAGATGTTTATTTTAGAAATGGGACTGTAATTGTAACCCTGTTCACTGTGCCTGGCCAATTTGAGGTGACTGCCATATATCAGCATTTCCAAACCTGGGGATTGGGACTCCTGGAGGGGTTGCAAGGGGGGTGTCAGAGGGGTCGACAAAGACCATCAGAAAATACAGTATTTTCTGTTGGTCATTTCAGTTCTGTGTGGGAGATTTGGCCCAATTCTATCGTTGGTGGGGTTCAGAATGTTCTTTGATTGTAGGTGACCTATACTTACTTACTTAGGTGATTCCTCGTTGTCCGAGTAGGATAATCCTCCAAGGTGGGTCCGTAGGTGACTATCCTTGTGTAAGTTCCTTTATGCACGTGATTGCCCATTTTTTGGTCCTTCTGCCATGGATATACTCAGCATAAGCAGAATTATACAAATGCTACTCATTTTTTGTGTGCCTTGATGCTGTTTCTGACTTACAGTAACCCTAATGTAAACATATCACAGGGCTTTCCTAGTAAGATTTGTTTAGAAGTGGGGCCTGCCATTGCCTTCCTCTGTGGCCCTGCTTCGCTCCCCCCCCCCCCCCCCCCGTGGCGCATTGGGTTAAACCCCTGTGCCAGCAGGACTGAAGACCGACAGGCCGCAGGTTCGAATTTGGGGAGAGGCGGATGAGCTCCCTCTATCAGCTCCTCATGCGGGGACATGAGAGAAGCCTCCCACAAGGATAATAAAACATCAAATCATCCGGGTGTCCCCTGGGCAACGTCCTTGCAGACAGCCAATTCTCTCACACTAGAAGCGACTTGCAGTTTCTCAAGTGTCTCCTGACACGACAAAAACCAAAAAAACCAAAACAAAACCCTCCCCCCTGTACTGATGCTGCTAAAAGTATTTGCAACTGTATAAAGGAAGAGAAGGCAAGAGCAGGTATTTAAATAGTTCAGTAAAAGGAGCTTGTTTCGCAGAAACTTTGTTAATGGAGGCATATCGGTTGGTTATTTTACAATGACCATTATGGCTGCAGGATTCTGGTTACTGCAACCCAAAAATATAATCTTTTCCAAGCCACATAACACTATTGTTCCCTGTTGCTGCTTAAGTTAACAGTGCAAAACTGGAAAAGCTGGAATGTACTTCATAGAACTTCATATAAACAAACCCAGTTTGTTTTGCACCAGTTATCTGTGATTTAGTGTTGGAGACCTCCCTGCTTTGGGCATGTGATATCAATGCTAGTTTGGATTGCCACCTTTTCTCTTCCAAAGATCATTCAAGTACCTCTTTTGAATCATCTTGTTTGCTGCCACTGTCTATACCTATGAAGGAATGTGGCCACGTTTGCCTTTTTAAAATGGCATTGGGGGGGGGGGGGGGGCTGGCAATATTATGCTGGAGTTTCTTTTACCTGTCTCCCTTTCAAAGGCAATGCTTAGAGCTATGAATTTCTCATATTTGCAACAGTTTTCAA